CTAAAAACTTTATGTGCGTTTTATCGAACTCGCATTTGGCAGCATTGATCGTAAGGTTATGTGATCGCAAGGTTTGTAAACTAGTGCGGTGGTTTTCCTATGCTCTTCTAGGGTTTCAGCGTATATGAGCACGTCATCTATATAAACTATCTTGCTTTCAACGTCTTTTAAGATACGAGTCATTTCACGCTGAAAAATTTCAGGCGCGCAGTTCACGCCAAACATCAAGCGCGTAAAACGAAACATTCCATTCTCTGACAAGAATGTAGTCAGGTCTCGTGAATCCTCACATAATTCAAGGTGACAGAAGGCATTGGAAAGATCAAGCTTTGAGAAAAAAATTTGCACTATGCAGCTTCACCTTCATCTCATCAATCAACGGTAGGCGGAAGTACTCTCGCTTGATGGCTTTATTGGGCGCCCGCATATTCACCACCCAACGAAAGTCATCTTTCCCTTTTGCGACTGCCGACATACCACTGATCCACTGAGGTGCAGATTTGACTTTTTCTATTATCCCCCGTTCTTCCATCTCTTCGAGTCTGCGCCGTGCTCCTTCCCGGTATGCGGCGGGAATGTTGTAGTACGCGTTTCGTACTGGTGATATTGACTGATCAACGCTGAATTTTACCTTTACGTTTGGCATCTTGGGAAATATTCCAGATTGTTCGCAATTGTTAACCATATCTCCTACTTTGAGAAGTCCCATATCGCTGGCAGTTACCCTTCCAAGCAAAGACCGATTCCCTTCCTTCACGACATGAAAATCGGCTATGTTTATCGGCTTGTCATAACCAACTGCTTCAATTGTAGCCCTGAAGTCACACTCGATTTGCATAGGCTTGTTGCTGGCGTAAGATTGTAGTAAGTGTTAGTGGCGTTTGATCTCGGATGAAACACAGCTTTACGATTTTTAAGCTGTTCTTTTAAGATGTTCCAATCGTTACCGCCAATCACGTTCACATCAGCGCCAGAGTCAACAAGAAACTTGATTGGGATGGAAGAACCAACACGACAAGCGATAAGCACATCCTGTAGAGATAGAGCATTGATTTGCTGATCATTGTTATCTTCATTCATAGGATTTCGCGTGAGACCTTCATGGTTTACCACATTGACATTATCCTTACGGCATGCCACTGCAAAATGTCCGCGTCGACCGCAAGAGTTGCAGTTCCTATTCATAGCTGGACAATCCTCGCCTCTATGCGATGGACGGAAGCATCTGGAACATCTATTACGACGACTCGACTGTACACTCTACTCAAACATTTTTTTTTGCTAAAGCGATCCTCGCAACACGCTACTCCTTATTAATTTTCCAAAAGCCAGCGGTCCTCCCAACACGCGGCAAAAACCTAGCGGTTATCTCAACTCGCCTTTTCAAACAATATCAGCGGTCCTCCCAACTACGCTGCTATTCTTTTAATTTGGAGTTTTTTCTTTAAGCGGTCCTCCAAACACGCTGCCCTTATTTATTTTCCAAATGCAAGCGGTACTCCCAACGCGCGGCAATATCTAGCGATCCTCTCAACACGCCTTTCCAAACAAATTAAGCGGTCCTCCCAACTTCCTCGTTTATTTTCAACAACCATCCATTTTGATGTAAAAAATGGATGTGGTAGCCATTTTGTTTTCCGAAGCTAGCATCTTTTTCCTTTTTTTTATTCGTGCAATGGGTGATTTCCTCTTGATTGATTACTAATATTGAAATTCGATTACTTTGCTGTGGACATTTCAGCAAAACCTGTCACGGTCGCCAAATGTGAAGAGCTAAACTCTACCGGGAAATCACCGATTGCAGGATAACAATGGTACACTCGGATACACGTCTTACCTGCTCAACACTTTCACACTCGAATGATAGCTTGCGTCCAAACCATCTCTGTTGAATGGTGCCAAGTCGATACAGAGGGTTCACGTTATAGAGTGGTGAGCAGGTATGTTGACTATACCCACACAAAAATCAACAGTCAAAAGCATTTTTATCGATGCGTGGAAATGTTTCTGATCCATTGGTGATATTTTTTTAGAAATTGGTCGAGGGGCAGCTAAGTTATAACGTTCAAAATCTTTCATAATTTCATTTGTCGGTTTTCATAAAGTGTACCCCCATCTTCCCCAAAGACGTAGTCCTACGTCAAAAATAAGCTAAACGATAATCGTAGTTAGTCCCTTATGATTTAAAAAATCACATACTGCCCGTGGCATTACTGGATCATAACGAAGAGCACCTCTAAGTCTGAGTATGAACATACAAGCTCACTAGTGCTATAAAAAAATAGTAAGAATACAGTAAGCAGATCGACTCAAAATTTATTCCACTCAACTCAATTTCGTCAAAAACGGATTTACTAAACAGTGAATTGAATTTTCCGAACTTTTCCTCGAATATGAGAAAAATCGATAGTGGTATCACTCAGTAAATTAGTATACTCCTAGACTGAGTAAAATGTTCATATTCGAGAAGCTTTTCCTGGTTTTCCACGGCTTTTGCCCGGAAAATTCAACTCACTTTTGAGTAAATCCGATGTTGACGAAATTGAGTCGAGTCGATCCAATTTTGAGGAGGTTTGATTGTCCGTGTTTACCCATACCAAAGCTTCTCACAAAAAGCTCCATATATTGAATCAGTGCTGACATCTAGAAGCACTCGGCTGAAAACAAGGCGCAATAATAGGTCTGTGCCTGTACTTGCTTTTAAGCGAACCCCACACGGTGAGAAATATTGTCAATACTTACAAGTATTGACAATAATATTGATGGTGTGAATGCAGAAATATTGTCAATACCGATGTATTGACGTCAATATAAAATGTATTGACAATACGATTATTGTCAATAAAAGCAATCGTGTACGGTCCACATTATGCTTTTGTTGTAGGTTGCTGCAGCTTTCTGTAAGTTGCTGTAAGAAAATAATAAGGTGGAGCAAGTATTGCGCGTTTCACACAAAATTGGACTACTAAGCGCGTTTTCACTTATTAAAAAGTGTGATAAAACTGCAAGTTTACGTATAATCGTGTTGGTGTCTTCGGTGCACTTATACCTTATGATGCAAGCAATAAGTGCTCCAAAGACATCAAAACGATTTGATGGAAACGTGCACTTTTATCACACTTTTTGCATTTTTGGGACAGTCCAGTTTCAGATGCAATCAGCAATACCTACGCGAACATACTTTTGCTTTTTACTGTACAGAATCTTACAGAAAAGCAAGTACGGGAACAGACCTAATGCATACAAACAGACAAACAGACGTAACTTTTTGTTCTTAATCGTCGTACAAGAGTTTAAAGCTCACTTTATATATTATTGCTTGCGCGAATGTGACGTTTCTAAGCATTCTATCGAATTTGTATGCAGCATTGTTTGAGACATGGCAAGTAGGATTTTTTCCGCAAGTAACTCGCGACATGTCGGTAGTGCGTTCCGTGACGATATATTTAAGGGAAATTTATTTAAAGAGTTACGTCTGTTTGTCTGTGGAACACATATTCTCCTACACTGAAACAAGGATCATAGTTAGAAATACTATTTTGCAGAAAACACTTATTATCAATATAACCGCGCTTATTACTGTTAAATCTACTATAAATTCAGTATAGTTGACTACGAATGTAAAACAATTTACTATGATTCTGACGAAACTACTATGCTTGCTCAAAATGCATAGTAATTTTGATAGAAATAATAGTAAAATTAAATGAAATTGTTTTCTGCACAAATCTATTGGTGAGGGTATTTAATTTAAACCAGCAATATAGTATTTTTGCCAATGGATTTTGTATCAGTGTACCATCAGAATGGTCGATCAGAATAACTCAAAAATTGAGTCAAGTCTACTCAAAAGTGACTTGAATTTTCCGAGCTTTGAGCATGAGCATGATTGTAGTAACTTGAATTTGCTATAGAGGTTTCACTCAGTCATACTCAGTATACTCCTCGACAAAGTAAAATGTTCATGGATTTTTCTCATATCTAAGAAGTTTTTTTTTGTTTGGTATTCCACCACTTTTGCTCGGAAAATTCAACTTGCTTTTGAGTAAATCCACTTTTGACGAAATTGAGACGACTCCACTCAAAGTTGGTCTGATGACCGTGTACTGCCATTGACATCAGCTACTTTACACGTGTATTTATTGTTTATTGATAGTATCAAAATGCTGTTAGTGATATTCAACTTAATGGTAGCATACAGCAATGTAAAAGACTAGCTCAACACAAGTTATGCTATGTCCATTACAGGAGTCCCCCGAATAGCGCGGAGGGAGGCACCGTCCACCCACCGCAATTTCTGGGATGTTCTTCCATCTTCTTTGTTGTATGTGATTAGGGTTAACCATAAACTGCCATCTTGGATTCGACAGTCCACCGCAGTAACGGCTCAATCGAACAATTGCATTTACCATGCTATACCATTTCCTCCGCATCTGTCTGGATAACTACTATACCACCTCTCACGATCTTAGGATAGAACCGTCGTCGTCTTTCCTACCCTCATAGAATATGTCAAGCTATGCCTCAGTTCCATAAAGTCTATGCAGCAGACAGCTCAGCTGTCATGCTTCCAGGGTGGCTTGCTCCATTTCTCCCGCTCTCGCACAATCTATGCTCTCTGTTTTGATACAAATGCCAAGGCAAGCACCACCACCGCCTGCTAATGTGGTGCTGATGTTGACAATGCTCCTCGACGCCGTCGTCGTTTGCGGAGCGAATGAGTCACGCGAGCATAGCTCACGTTGAGTGGATGGGAGTCAACCAGCTGTCAGAACGGCTCGCAAAACGTAAACACTTCAAAAGCACTACACTGGGTCTGTGCTGTTGCTCTGCTGGCCGCGTGCTCGGAGAGGTTGCGACTGGGTCGGTGGGAGAGCTGGTCGTGGCTCGGATTGTGCTCACGGCAGCTAGCAGCTCGCTGGTTTCAGCTGGGCTGCATAGGAACGAACGGGACGAGACCGATATCGGCGTGACTTTTCGTAGCACACGGCAGGCAAGCAGGCGGTTCGTGGTGACTGCACAGTGCTCTCTCTGCTCATTGGTTTTGCGTGCGTTTCGCTGAACGGTCGCTGGAACGCTTCGGGAAATTACGGGGCAACCCATAGTGTTCTCTTCCATTATAGAGTAGCTATTAGCTGTGTTGTGTATACAGTTTTTTCATTGTAGGGATCGTTTGATTCTGAATGGGACTTTAGAACAATTTTTCGAGGTTACTGATGTAAGACGAATTGCAAGGAAAGACGTATCTTCCAACTGGCATCCGGTAGCAGAAAAGAAGATTTATAGACGTACGTCAAGTGGCGGTGGGTCTAATTTTCAGTGTAGAGAGAATCGGTTGCGATAAGCAGGTCGCAATTGGGCAACATCACAAAAGTGGTTTACTGGGAAAAATCGATTAGCAGTGAGGCGTATTCTGGTGATTTGCAGCTGGTGAGTGTATGGCTTTCGGGGCAGCGGTGGGAGTTTAATTGGGATCCGTTCCCGTTACATTGTGAGGAACATTGTGTATAGTGTCGCATTCTTACTGGAATCGTGAAGAAAGGGTGATTATTCTCAATAGTGAAAAATAATCGTGATCGTAAAAACAACACACCTCCTTGGGGTGCGGTGCGGTGCATGCATGTGTGCGCTAAAATCAGAAAGAGAAATTGCGATGAAGCAAGTGTGAGCCCTGGTGAGAACCCAATTCAAAGTAGGCGCTGTGCAATTGATCAATTGGCATTAAATGGCTGCAGTTTTTTTCGTGGGGTAATCAAAGTGGCTCGCCTTGGAAGTTCACTGGTTACTTAGGTTCGAGCCCGACGAACGCGCGAGCGGAGAGGGATGCTGAATGCTGCGGTAAAACTAACCAGTCATCGTTTATTCGCTGATAGTTTGGATCGTAGCACGCAGTGCTGTTCTCAATAGTAATAAGAAAAAATAAATAAACACAAAGTGAACCAATCGAAAACGGAAGGCTGTAGCTGCATTTAAAACTAGTCTGCAGCAAAACGAACGACCACAGTACCTACAAGCATTGACCTGGCGAAGACGGAAGGCAGATTCTCAGCAGCTGTGCCCTTTCAAGGTAGGTCATGCTTCTTCATTCTATCCCCTCACGACGACCGACGACGACGACGACGTGCAACGTGATTGCGTTGTTTAGTCTTCAAGCTCCCCTCAACTTTTAACTTCTGCCTGCGGGCGCATATCATATGTTGACACCTCCCTTGAAAATAGCTACAAGTACACGCGACACTGCGTCGTCGTTTGGCATCACCTTTGCTTGCTTAAAGAATGTGCAGAAGGAAGCAAGCTTCCTTTTTGGGAAGAACTGGGTCAACTCTTTGCACTGTGGGAGCGGTGTTTTGAAACAACAGTGATGATGATGGTATGGGAGATGTGCATTTTGGATTGATCACCTGTGGTGCTGATCAGATGCACGGGTTTAATAGTGTTTCAAATTTAAGTAATCAGTGCTTTATTGTAAATGTTGAAATTGAAGTAAACTTCAATAAGCTGTATGGAGGGCAAGGGGGGGGGGGGGGGTGAAATGGGTCATTAGGGGTTGCGTTCTTAGTTGTCACATAAAAAAAATTCGGTGATTGATATCAAGAGAAATCTTGGTTGGTTGGTTGGTTTTCTTTATTAAGGAGATTTTCAGCCAGACGCTGGTTCATTTCCGCGAGAAATCTTAAAAGCATTTCATCATGACACTCCAATGATTGCTTTGACGAGTTTCTCATAACAAAAAAACTGTCGTCGTCGTCGTCGTCGTCGTCGCTACCGGGTACGACAACTCAATTATAGATGTTGATGTGATATGAGAGGCTCGATGGCCTTAGAGCGGCAGCTTTTGCTTTCTAAGCAGAACTTTATGAGTTTATTCTCAATTAATCACTTTATTTGTTAATATGAATACATGGTAATAGCAATAAGCCATAAAAGGCTAGAACAAGAGTTAGTGCTTATGTCCCAACCGTCAGAAGAAAATTGAGCATCATTTAACCTTTCTAGCTTTGATGCTTCCAACAACCAATATAATTATCAAAATCGGAACGTACGGTACGAGATGTCCACGTTTCATCCATTTATTGGATTCTGAAGTATCGTGTTTAAATCTTCGATTTAAACAGGCCCAATGTTTTCTGAATCATCTTGCCCCTTAAATGCTGCAATGATGTAAATGATGTGAAACATATATCAAATAGATAAGGAAAATTATGGAGGTATATCCATAATTTTCCAGAATGCTTTCAAGAACTGGCTGTGTTGGTGTTAGAATAGATTAGATTAATATGAATACATGGTAATAGCAACAACTGGATCACAAGTGGTGTGTTGTAATATAAGGAGCTCGTTCGCCTAGTGGTAAACGTTTTTGTTAACTGAGCAGAAAACCGTTGGTTCCATTCCAAGCTCCTGTACGTTAATGTATCGTTATGACATCAATCCCAGCAAACCATAAATCGTATAAGAATGTTCGTTTTAAATCGTATAAATATCCAAATGAAGTTGAAGTTGCATAAGATGCAATTCCAAACTAGAAGAAATTGTTTAAGATGAAAAATTATGAGTCAATTATAATCCTCTTTGCGAGATAGTAAAATTTAATTTTTTTATTATAATTTCGTCACTTTCCAATAATTCATTTTTTTTTATAAAACCCTACCAAAATGAAAAGTTTTTTAACACTCCAAAAGTACAACATATATCAATTATATTTACATATACATTGTATGGAGGAAATCTACAGCTATATGCAGGTAGCTGGCATCCACCACCACTAACAGTGAGCTTGTGGCAAGGATGGCCATTGTACCAAGTCGGTTTCAACGGTCACCACCAGGGAAAAAAATTATGCAATTAAACAATTGGTTGACTCTGATACTTCCTGGAATGCGATAGGCATAACTGCAGTAGTGTAGAGTGAATTGATGACACCCTTGACGATTAGTTTGTAGGTCACCTCTCCAAAAGAGTAAAAATATGATTAACTAGTGAATAATAGTCGCATGTGTCCTGATGCTTACACATATACTATCTCTATGATCTGGAAAAATGAAAGCTACGCTTCAGCTCTTAAATGTTTCATCAATCGCAATTTAATTGTTTGTTCCTTTTTTACTATCCAAATGGTGATTTTAATTTTTGGTGGAAAAATTTTACTATCATTAATGGTGATGCTATTGTGAATCCTGAGCCTTAAGGACAAATTAATAGAATCGAATTTTTGTTCTTATCACAAGTAATTTTTCATATCATGAAACTTTTTGTTAGAAATGGGGGGAGGCAGCTCATCGATTCTTCCGGTTCGCCTCCTAGCATCGTGCTATAAGGTACCAGGCGATAACCAGGGTAGTTGATCGATAGCTCGATGACGTCATTTCGTTGGCGTCTGCAATGGGAAATTCTCATAGCAGGCGTTGACGATGGGACGTTGTCGAGTTGTTGAATAGCAACTATCGTGGTAACTCACCGATTACCTGTCGATCTGCCAAATTTGGAAAGACGTCTGCATTGAATTGTCTCATATAATAATATTCCGCCCACTATATCACAAGAAATTGCGAGTAGCTGAGTGGAATGGAGATAACTTAAGCATTGGGTACAGGACCAAGTCTCCCCTGGGTGGTGCCAGAAGATGAGCGCAATAGAATCATCAAGTTGCTATAAGGCACGGAATGAGACTATTGCATGGCTGGGTAGTCAAAGTCTTCCATACGTTAGTCATTTCAGGTGGATTAGAACAGGTTTAGGTTTAGGGTGGGCGTTGGCCAGATTTGGATTTTTCAGATATCAGGCATAACATTTGATAACGGCACAAAGGCATTTGTAAACAAACTTTCTAAGGCCCTTTACACGCGAGCCAAGGTACGCCCACGCAAACCAATACCACTTTCGGAAAGGTTATAGTTGCCCCTATCCAATGATGTTGTTGGTTTGCATGGGTGTACTTTGGTTCGCGTGTAAAGGGTCTTAGAAGGTTTGTTTACAGATGCTTTTGTGCCGTTATCAAATGTTATGCCTGATATAATCCTAAATAGGACCTAGATTATTTAATACACTAGTAACCTCAACTTCTGTCACAATGTTTCATTGTGTCTAATCAACACTCAATGGGTAAAATATCAAATTTGCGGTAAATTTGAAAAAAAGGTAACTTGGAGTGTAGAGCGCACTGCCCACTGGACGATTCTGAAGCCTGACCAATATATATAGATACATTCATACCATTGGCATTTTGTATTTGAGATAAGACAGAGACAGGATGCGGAGGGCCCGCTTAGGGGGAGCGTAACCCATGTTATGGCTTCCATTTATTAAATAGTTCAGATAGGCTGGAAATGATAGGTTCATGTTGAGAAAATGTACCATATGGTGCCCGTTCACTGATCAAAATTAAATTAGATTCAAATCGTCAGGCCCCCCTGTAATAAGGGGATTGACGATGATTTGTCAAGTTTCATTTTGCATTTGCATATAATTGTAAGTTTAGGTCTGCTTTTGTAATTGTAAGATAGATAGTTTGGCTCAATTGAAACATTGAGTTGTATAAACTTGACGAATCATACCTCTAAAATAGTAGTAGTTACAGTGCCGCATTATCTAACAACCACTGCCTGCAACTAATGTTGGAGGGGTCAGCAGGGCTGATTACGGATCAAAACTAACATAACTCTAACACTGAAATGTTCCCAAAACTAACGCTCATTCATTGCACTTTGAGTCATAAAGTAGTTTTATTTATTTTCCTACTAATCTATCTACACACTTAGTTTTTTCTACCGAGCTCGGCTGTGCGGGTCTCGGCGGGAAGGGGGTTTCGCTGAGATCTCGGCGGGAGTGACATTTGATTGCCGAGTCTCGGATAATGCCTTTTCTAATTATCTGCCTACGTTTCTTTTATTTGTTATCTACTTCATCCCTTTTTTATTTGTCTGCTCTTCTTTCCTCTTCTCTTCTTTTGTTTTGTTTGTTTACATATAACTAATACTAATACCTCCTTGTTTTCTCTCTAATTTGTCTACTATGTCTCACCATCACGATGAGAGATGAGATACCGTACATGGTACACGCTCATATACACTTAGGTCTTTTTTTACACGGGGGATACGGTCCGTGTAAAAAAAACCGTGTAAAAAAAAACCGTGTAAAAAAAAACCTACGAGATTTTGATTTTTCGCATGCTAAATGTTTTTAAAAAATCGGATTTTGATGCCATTTGTAATTAAAGCATGATATGGTCCATATAGACATATTTTAAAAATTTCTGTATTTACACCAAAAATTGTGATTTTTTTTAGGTATGCCATTCAATTACAAATAGCTTGAAACGGATAACGTGATTGGAATCAAGTCGATAGGTTGTATCGTTGTCGAGAAATCGTTAAAAACGTACCGTGTAAATCGTGGAAAACCGTGTAAAAAAAACCGTGTGAAAAAAAACCGCGTAAAAAAAACCGTGTAAAAAAAGACTTCAGTGTACACTCCCAAAATAGTATGCCGCAAGTAAGTATATCACAGAGGCAACTAAAGATCCAGAAACGAAAACCGATAACGCTGAAGATAATGAGCTTTGGTGATTTATATGACTAAATAGTATTATTTATTTATACTAACCTAAACACAACGTGGGGGGACCCAAATCCAAACGATCACTAACCAAAATAATAGACTTATCTTTTTTCAGCAGCATTACACCAGCCAGCAAAGTTCAATCCATCGTTGCTTATGCCTTTGTTGTCGTTTGGAACCAGTTTTGCAAGGTAGGCGACGATTGTGCGTATTTCTCGCGTAACTTTTGAAAAGAGCCTATTTATAGCCTGAACAATACGTAAAGAGCAAATTGAAACATTGAACGTCGCGTGAAAGTGGAACTTAATGAAGGCCTAAGTACTTTTTCGTAGTTTTTAGTTTTCGGATTTGAAAGATCGTCGGTTACAGTGGCCTGCTTACTGAGCAGAAAAACGCGGTCCCAGGTCCTAACATATCAAAGAGATTTATGGTAAAATCGCTTGTGTATCGTGTATTTTGTGAAACTCGTTGTTGTCGTTGGTTCCGGGTTTGAATGGATACAAAAATTTG